TTTTGTGTTGCAACATTATACATAATTGAATATCAATTCAATAAAAATTTAATTAATACAGTGAATAGCGACATCTCTCGCCAGGACTGGTAGCTGTAAAGGTACTAACTGGGTGATAAATCTGTCATAGGTTTCTCGTAGATGGCGCTACGACTAAAAAGTCGTTGAAAGACCAAGTACAAAGACACGACGCAAGCACATAGAAAAATTCGTGAAGTCCGTTGGTTCATTCCGTGGCTTAGTTGGTATAGCGTCTGACACGGTATGCAAGAAGACGTCGGTTCGAATCCGACCGGATCGAAGGAATTTTTTCTGAGTGTTCGATCTTTGTATTAATAATTATAACATTATACATTTAAAAAGTTACGACAGCTATGGATTTTTGTTCATTATCCTACGTTAGCAATGCTCATATTAGGTATTAAGGCAGATCCATAATTTCCAAGTTGAGCGCTACGCTTACGAGCTGGACGCTAATTGAACAAGGAGTTTTCTATTTAAGTGTGCAATGTACAAGCTACAAATGGTAAAAAATCTCAATATATCAATGACCGGATAATCAACCGGAAAAACGAGCATATCTATTTACGTACTTATTTCAATGGTTGGTAATTTAGATTTCATTGAAAAAAGCTATCAGCTCAAAAAGATAACAAAGAATTAAGAAACACAATGCAATGTAACCAAAAAATAAATCGTGTAACAACTGACAATAACCCGCCATCTTGGAATCCATATAAAAACGCGTAAGTCTCGATGTAAATATAAAATATTTTATAGTTTGTCTTAAAAAGGTACCTGTATACTGGTCGTCGTGATTTATTTTTCCCCTCAGAATCAGGGTGAACAATTCCGCGGTCGAGCGTACATACATCGGTATGACATGACAGGAGTGTCAGGAAATAGGGTTACACGAGATTCATATTTGCTTATTCGTGTTTAAAGGTATTGAAATCAATAATAAAATATGCTTTAAATTTTATTGAAATGTGAAATTTTTAAAAGCAGTCAAACTAAGGGCTAGGATAATGAATGAATCAAGGATAAGTGATATGAATGTTAATAATGTTACGAACATTCGTAATAAAGTCTACATTTTTATCATAACGATCTTCCACCGCCAATTAAAACATGCAAGTCATCCTATACTTTCAAATATATGTATAAAGAATGGCTGCTGAAACAACAGAAGACTTCGTGCTGTTGGTTGGAGGTGAATTAGGTTCTGGTATGTTAGCATAAATAACAAGTAAATATAATATATAATTATAATCAATAATGTTCAATTAAATTTCATTCTTAGTTTATCCTATTCTATATATAAGTAGTGAGTATAATGCTTTTTATACCTATTTTGCTATATGGTCAGTGCGTGTATCATTTGATTCATAATTTAAGATTTTTACTCAATTTCTGTGTTGTTTTATAGTAGTTGTATAATTTCGGTGAGTGAGGTGCCTTCTGAAATATATCTATATTTAATTATAAATTGCATACTGCGGTGTCTGCAGCAACTAATTTATTTAAATTTCTACGTCAAAATTTTTTATCACCAGGTAAAGCCTGAAAACCAGCATCTTGCTGAGGCTGTAACCTTTTCTTCATTACAGACCTTTTAAGTTATTATTTTAAGTGTTTATGTATTGTTTCCTGTGTTGAAGAATAAAGTCCCTTTTATTTTTTTTATTTATTTATAAATTTTTATTTCAGATAGTCCCTGGAAAATGAGGAGATTGTTAAGTTCACACTCAACACTGCGTCGTGATAGGTTTGGTAACGCCAATAATAATAATTGTTGTTAGACTCTTGGCAGCAATTTAAAATCTTAGACAAAAATTGTTACGTGAAGAAATAAGTTTTCGCGATTGTTGTGAAATTTTTAAATTATACTTTTCCTAAATGCGCAAAGTTCTATTTTTGAATCATAGGATTAACGGAAAGCTTTGTACATATATTAGTAAACTGTGCAAACCATGAAATCGGCAATATTTTATTGGCTATTGGAAGGCACTACTACAAATTTATTATTCGTATATCAGATACTGATAAACCTATGAAATAATAATTATGTTAGAAGACTCAGCATACCTTGCTTGGCCACTGACATCATGCACTTAAATCGATTTTAATATCAAGCATAAGAAACAAATCTCTAAAAATTGCACATAAACTCATGTATTTATTTTAATAATTTATTTTATTAATTTTTTTAAATAATTTATTATTTAGCGTAAAGAGCAAACTGTGAGCTGATGCACTTCACAACTTTACAGACAGGAATTCGCGACTCCGTATTTTTACACGCGATGTGATACTTTGTTACAACTAGGCTAATATATATTTTCAAATCACATTTTGAAATTTGAGTTTTGAGCAATACCAATGGACGGGCCCCAGTGTGCTATGGTCACGGCACTTGTAAAAGGCCCGAAACATTCTTGTTTTATTTTTTTCAAAAAACATATATACGCGATTTAAATCCGAAAAAAATATATCCTATGTCACATAGTCAATAGTGTTTAAATCTTAGAATAATAACGCATAGAAACCTAGCTCGCACACGCTAAGTGCGGCAAATTGAAGCGCGCCCAATGGGCCTTCACGAGCGGGCGGGCCTTCAGTGCTCAAGGTCAACTTGCACCGCGAACAGATCAAGAATTTTAGCTAAAAATGACGAAATGTGCGGTAAATGAGTGTAAAAATACGTCAGACAAACATAAAATAGACACTAACATCACATTCCACAAGGAAGTAACGCGTTTCAACTTGTATTTTTATATAAATATTCACTAAAACCGAAAATTAACCTACTACTAAAGATACTAAAACTACCCTACATGAATTTGATATTTGCCTCACTTGTGACACTTCGTTTGATATGAAACTATCATTCTATGCGTTATTATTCTAAAGTTTAAATATATTTAAGGAATTTCATATCTATTACTTCACTTTTAAAACTACACTCGTTCAGCAATGTAAATATCTTTTAATTAATAATCTATTCTTTATTACACCAAACAAAAACAAAAGAAACATTACCCGTATAAAAGATGAGCAACGGCTGACTTATCTCTAAGTGTATTTTCCACAATCCTTCAATATGTCATTTTCATAAGTACCTAATTCATAATAATTACGTTAACCCAAGTTGAGTAGGTCATTCCATAATATCAATTGATCGCCAAATCACTTGAACTGTACACATTTATGTGGATTATAAAGATAAATAACAATGTTCATAATAATTTTACGAAAATGGCGGTAGTTGTAGAAAAATTTTCATCCTTCGGGACAGGCAAAGGCGGCCTACTTAGTCCTCGATTTAAATTTTTCTATCATTTCGTTTTCTGACACTTTTTCGCGGGTCTTTCCCGTCTTCCGAAAATGGCGGCTTTTGTAAATTTATATCGCGGGAAATCGTTATATATCTTTACGGTGGACATTTTGAAACTCTTTATGTAGTACGTCAGCATTTGTTTTTGGAACAAAATTAAAAGGCAGAGACTTGACACAAACAGCCTTCAATTTTTTTATAAATAAAATACATACAATCTACATAACTATTTATATCAATTTAACAAAATCGCATAGTTTTCTTTAATCATCATCCACGATTTTGAGCTGCTTTAATCCATTTACGGCCCGTGACTTTGACGATGCTGTCTACCCATCTCGCTGCACCACGTTTCTCAACGACTTCCCCGCCAATTTTCTTTATTTTTAATTTTTCTATATAATTATTTATTTTATTACATTCCGTGCACGTTACTGCTTTTTATAGCTACATTTTCCAACTGTGTTGAAAAATGTTTTTCCGCAAAATTGAGTATTGTACTTACGAGAGCAGTAAATAAATAATAAATATGTAATATTATTATCAGATTTTAAGTAACATTTTTTAATTTCGTCACAAACTACTTTTATGATAGAGTCGATTTACCATGACACTGCCTATACAATGACAAAAGTATAAATAAAACAAAATTGTGTAACTAATGTTTATATTAAAAATTATTCATTATATTTTAGCATTTTACAGAGTAATCATATTTACAGAGGGTATGCTACGTACATGTCTACATACAGTATAAATAAATTTCATTGACTCCCCCATGTTTAACATTAAATGTACTACAACACCTTCGCTGTTACCTGTATCGGTGTGACATAATGACCGAGTTGCTTTATTCACTGTAATTTCATACAGATGGCAGCACAAGTCTTGATAAAAATAAACATTCCATAGAATCTCGTATTTAATTTTCTTGAAAATTGACAGAGATGTACAATACTTTAGTTCCAGCTTCACCACTAGACATTTCACGATCTTTGTGCTAATCCTCTTTTAGTTGTAAATCGTTAAAATTGTCTAAATAAAAAGATCATAATAAAACGTACTTGTGTAAACATTTACATTTCACATTTAGAAATATGTAACAGGATTGTGATCGGTAAAAAACACTTAGTAAATACTTTATATTTGATTACACTTTATAATATAACAAAGTAATTATGCAGATGTAGTGATTAAATAAAAAAACTATACATCGGGAAAACTCTGAAACCACAAATATTTCGCAATGCCAATAAACGAACGTCTATACGTTGTATTTATGACAATTAAAACCTAAACTTTATTAGTCAAAGTCTAACGTCAAAGTCATCGACAATAGCGTTCGGAAATATTCGAACTTTATGAGTTTTCCCGATGCTTAATCACTACATCTGTAATTAGTCCCTATGTACAAATTACTATGACCAACATTTAATATCTCGTGTGTTGCTGCATATTGCGTGCCCACGAATTTGTAATAACTTAAATGAAACTATTAGAATTCGACAGATTCTCATTAAACTTCAACGTTGTAGAACGATAATGTACTGTTCGTATTGAAGAACAGAACATCAAGTAATTATCCCAGCAGTGCCCCTTGTACGCTTCAGAGAGTTTCTTCGGGATTCATTGCACTGCAGGGATAATTTTGGGTTTCCACATCCGTCGCGTTGGTCATTATGTCAACCAAACATATACAGAAAGAACCCTTATTAGTGACTAATATCCGTTAAATATCAAGAACTTTAAGACAGAGTTTACAAATACTGCGCTCTTAGTGCGTTCCCTGAGCTTATACCTCAATAACTATTGTTCTTCAGTAACACTGAACAATTTACTATTTACATCTTCTTTAATCTAATTTAAGTAATTAGCTAATATCAATAAACAATTTATAACCTTCTAACGGCTGTTTCCTCTACGAATTGTGCGGCCTCATACAAAAAAAACTTACAATTTAACACAACGTCAAAGTCATAAGCGCACGGTGAGTACGCAAAGTGTACGCTAAAGAATTGAGGTAATTGGTTTCGAAAATAAAACACGGGTAACTTATCCAATGACTCTCAGTATTTACACAGCGTAAAGAGATGACGCGCGCCGCATTCACGCAGTGCTTTGCCGCTTTGCCAGCGGATGGCAAAGGCGCGGAAAGGTAGAGACACTTGCATCTATGTACAACCACCGCCCCTCGGACGGGGGGGCGGCTCGGAAAGAATACACATATTAGACAACGGTTCAGCACAATTACCGTACCCTTATGTACTGCGGTATTTACTAACAAATAGTCGCATACACGCTCGCTCGATTAAAACTAATCGTCGTAGTCGCAGATAGTTCACGGTGTAAAAAAAAAATATTTTTATAGAAAACTATCTTAAAATAAATCAGGTCACAAAAGTGAGGAATATATATATATATATACTCATAAAAACGTAAAAGGAAAATAGATATATGTACATAGACAAAACGTGATACATAAAATATCGATAGGTCGCATCGGCGATGGCGAATCTCAGTCGAGTTGATCAAATTTAACAGTTATATACCTTTAACATAAATCGGATATATTTACTATATGCATAATTTATCGGGGCACAGGTCTCTCGTCGACAGTTGCTCACGCACTGATCACTCACTCACTTAAGTTCATCTCCGGCGAGCTGCGCAGAAGGCGTCTTTCCACCCAGCGCTATTTGATCCGGTTGAGCACGAGGTCGGTGGTGACCTGCAGCCCCTTCTGGAAGGGGCTGTCGGCCAGCTGCGCGGCGCGGCGGGCGGCCTCGGCGCCGTGCTGGCGCGCCAGGAAGCGCGTCTGCTCCAGGCCGCGCGACTTGTGCACCAGCTCGAAGGCCTTCTCCACGTCGCCCGCCTCGCCGAACCGCCGCATGATCATGGGGTTCAGCTCGGGGTACTGCAGGCACGGGCACGTTACTTCAGATTACACCCAAACCCACAAACATTGCTCCCGGCCCGGGCGTCGAGCCTGGGACCTCTGCGTGGCACTCCGGCATGGTAACCGTTCGGCCACAGAGGCAGTCAAATATAAATTAACTATATTTAGAGTAACACTAAAGTAACATTTGACGGTCAAAAACAATATTAGATCCCCTTTTTTCATATAGGAAAAAGTAGTACGAGCCGAGCAAGTGAAGCGATCGTGCCGCGGCAGCGGCCAGCGACTGTTAAAAGCGAAAATGATCTCAGATTTTCTAATGCTTATTTGTCTTAGTTGACGCTCAACAAGAAACTATGAAAGTTGAATTTATATAAATCAAACAGCTCAGCACAGATTAAAATATCCATTCATTTAATTTATTTTATGTCCCAGAGAAAAAGGATCAATCATTAAAAAATTTGTCCTTTTAAATGTTACCGTCTGCTGCTTTTGCAAATTTAAAATGATCATTTAAATACATTCCATAAAATAGCTGTAACACAGACCTTTTCACAAGCAAAAAGCACCGGCGCCGTGGCGAGGCCGAGTTTCAGATCGGCGGCTGTAGGTTTGCCCATGGCCTGCGCCGAAGACACGAAATCCAGGAGGTCGTCCACCAACTGGAAGGCCAGTCCCAAATTGCGCCCATACTGGAACGCTAGCTCGCATGTGCTCTCGTCCGCGCCACTTAACAGAGCCACCTGAGACACAAGGGTTGAATTACAAAGATACTCATATTAAAAGATCATAATAAGAAGATATATTATCAACCCTCCTCCACTGGCTCAAATTCCTTTTTTTACCGCGCCAATATCATGTTACGTCCTTCGTCAGCGCTAATACCCTCTGTTCAATTTTCATCTGACGAGCACAATGATACTAGATCGAATCCTTAGATAGGACAAATGATATTGACGTGTTCATTAACACTGAATCAAAATTTCTAATATCCGCTGGTTAGGTAATACTTGGAGACGGTCACCGCCTAAAGCTCTACGGTCCGAATTCCGCAGCTTACCTTTGGACGGCGATCGCCTCTTTATATGACTATGACTTGCATGTTTAATTATAAGTACTCTAAGTGTACAAAATAAATAAATGTATAAATAAACAAAAGTTACCTGCCTTCGATTTCCAGTTCATATAAAGGAAATAAGATCACGGGATCTATGTTTATTATATGATCTTGTTAAGATAAAAAGTGTTCGGCCACAGATGGTAAAATAACACTATAACGGTTCCGCGTAGAAACATGTAAGTCGCGGGTTTGTAACCGCTCTTAGGCTCGTATTCCAGAGCTCTACTCAATGCTCAAGTCAGGACTTGAGCAGACTTGAGTATGATTACAAGCACTGGAAATGCGACCCTAATGGCAAGGACTTGAGTATGATTTTCAGTGCTTTAAATCATACTCAAGTCCTGACTTGGGCATTGAGTAGAGTTCTGGAATACGACGCTGAGACTCAAGCAGTCGCTTACCGCTTTGACAGCGTTGGCTATGAGGGAGGCAGTCTTGCGATAGGTCTTGGTGAGGTAGTGCGCGAAGCGCTCGTTCTCCGTCTCCTTGCTACCTAGCTGCATGAATTCGCCCTGTACCAAATCCGTCACCACCTAAAACGTAAATAGATAAACACGAGTTAGTACTTCATAATGGAAAATGTCAAATGTTGGTGAGAGTATCTTTTACCCTGGAAGAGGTACCGCGGTTTACCACTGTCATTCACGGCCTGGATTGGTAGCATTGTTACTGCCTCCGTGGCCGAACGGTTACCATACCGGACTGCCACGCAGAGGTCCCCGGGTTCGATTCCCGGGCCGGGAGAAATATTTGTATGGCCTACATTTATTTCTCTCGTGAGTTTGGGTGTAATTTGTGGTTGTCTATGTATGTGTCCATGGCACCCGCGACACAGGGTTTCCCTAGTGCGGGGCTATGTTGAGTGTGTGCGTTATTATTATTATTATTATTGTTTTTAATTGGCCTAGTTCAGCAGTGGAAGTATCCCAGGTGATAAAGATCTATTACTACAAGGCAGGATGTTGATAGTATTATAACAATAATATAACAAATGCAGAAAACTATGCTGTTCAAAACGCCAGATATCATGTCTTTGCCGGAGAAACCGGCTCTATCTAAGTTGAAAATTCTCAAAAAGAGACCCAAAATCATAAATAAATAGAATTTAATATCAAACAATACAGATAGTGGGAAAATAAGGGTCTGTATATTTACAAAAATAAGTTAATTCCAAAAATAATTAAAATGACTGAAATTAATTCAAAATTTGATTAAAAGCGATTAGGGGGCTTATTTTTAGGCATTTGGGGCGAAGATCTCAATTGGTCCCAATTGATTTTCAGAAATAAATTTAGAGAAAGCATTGACATACAAATAAATGGACGACGGGTCTAATACAAAAACCACGAAAAAAATGTCCCAAGTCAACCTATTTAAACGTAGTGACATGTCAAGGAATATGAAAAAGCTAAAACGTTGAATTTAAATTGTAATGTCATCGCAGTACTGTCTAATTTTGCTTGCTTCGCTGTCAGTCGAACAAACGAAGACTAAAGCGTGAATGACGCTCTGTATACGATTTTAACGCCCTATAAGTTCGGACACTTTTTAGCGCGGACCCGACGTCCATATAATTGTAAGTCAATGAGAGAAAGCATTCCGTAGCGATGAAGTACATACATACTTAATTATAACGCAACATAATTAATTGTACCGCACAACAAATCATCCTTCGTTCAATAATAGGTAATTTAATAGCAGTAGAGCTCCTTGTGAAAGAGTTCGTCCAGGGAAGTACTGCCACGTTACCTATTTCTGCCGCCAAGCAGTAATGTCAGCATTACTGTGCTCCGGGTTTAAAGGGTAAGGGTGCTGACGAAATTACAGGCAGATGGGACTTGTCAACTTATGTCTCAGGGTGATGGGCGCAGTGGTAGTGCCCCTCAGATCTTTGCGATTTAAAGCTCTGAGTGGCACTGCAACTGTTATGGACAGGCGTGTAGTTTACCACCAGGCGCACGAATTGCTCGTCCCGTCACTTGATGTTATAAAAAAAGACATCTTTGTTATTGGTGTGCTACTTAAAATTTTCTAATAAAAACTCTATCGTAACTTTTCGACGAGTCCTTGTAATTACGAAACGCATATCGAAATAACTTTACGTCATCTCGTTGCATATCGATTCTGCGACGCAACCTTCGCCTCAGACTTCCTGATTTTGTCAACTGCGTCTGTACTTAAACAATACATTGCGGTAAAAACAATACAATATGGCAGTAGTAGTCCCATTGGACAACGGGTTTGACTGTAGACTCTCCGTAACGGTGACTTAAAATTAATTGCAATATTTCGTTACCAATCTCCTCTAAGCGTTTAAGGCCATGGACCGTTAAGCAGGCACAAAAGATTGTGAACTTTGTTCGATGTGCAAGTTTCATCGCGATGTTGTTTTTCATCGTTAACGAGAGAGAGAAAGAGAGACCAGTACCCTACCCTGCAGCGAAAATGGGGTTTACGTTGGAACGAGTTCGAGAATATGCAAGATACCTACTCCGGTTGTATGTGCTCAGAAAAACAGTTGCAGGCAGTGAATCCCATTCCTGGCGTGTGCGCATAATAAATGACAAAAAGCGCTTAATACATTACTGGCACTAAACATTAGCAAGTGCACGTGACTTACAAATAATAATAATAATAACGCTCACACTCGTGGCCCCACACTAGAGACACCCTGTATCGTGGGCGCAATGGACACACGCATAGACAACCACAACTTACATCCAAACTCAAGAGAGAACTAAATGCAGGCCATACAAATATTACTTCCGGCCCGGGATCGAACCCGGGACCTCTGCGTGTCAGGCAGAAAGTTATAGGTGCGTGTGCGAAGCATTCGTTCTTCAACTAGGCTACCGCCGCTCACCAGCACCGCTGCCTTCACAAATGATAAGTCAAAGTAAGTTGAACTTTCAGGCACGAACTTATCAATCCTTGAATGTAATACATTATTGTATGCAGTAAATCAATTCAACAAAAGGTGTGTATACCATTGTATATAACAATTAGACCTTTACGTTTAGCGAAGGATGTGATTATGCACGTTAAATCATTCCATTATTATCGAGTGCACTGCACGGATTATAAAAAGACCTTGGTTCGTGCTGAATTACTTTAGGTTAATGCTTATTATAAACATCTAACAAAGAGAAAAATCTAGATCACGTTCTTTGGCAAACCGGCGTGTTTAACTGTTCAGACATTTCACATAATATGCAATCAAAGTTATCTAGATAAAATAATCTAACTAATGAGACAACGTAGTTACAATATAATTCAGTCACACTATATAGCGTCATTAACTTTGTAATAGCACTGTAATAAAAAAATAAAGTTAGTTTACTTTGTACTTTAATATATACCTAATATGAATGTTGTGTAAATTTATAATTGAATGTCAGCTTTACATAACATAATGTAACGATTCTAATTTTACAATATTTACTCATTGATTTTTATGTATTAAGAAATAGTTACAAAAGAAAACTTAAATCTAGGCTTCTAATGGACAGAAAACAGCTTTGGTTTGAAAATTAATTTCAGTTATATTGAGGAAATGAAACTACTTTTCCGGATTTAAATCGCGTATATTTGTTTTTTCAAAGAAAACAACGACTGTACCACATAGGTCAACCATGACCATGGGACCTGTAAAGGGCCCGACACGTTGGTTTATTTGAAAAAAACAAATATACGCGATTTAAATCCGGAAAAATAGTTTCATTTCCTATGTGTGTGATATTCAGTTATATTCTTTTTAAATAAGTAATTAAGTGACGTCAAAAAAATATGACACCCTATGTTTCATTCAATAAAAAATGTTTGTCAACTAGAATATCGTTAAGTGTGTAGTTTGTACATCGATGAAACTAAAGTCTGCGTAAGTAGGTTAGTGGGAGGTCTTCGAGTTTACGACTCTTTCAACGTTTCGAGGTGGGCTAGGCCGAGATGCGAGCTAAGAGCTGCGCATGCGGTGAAACGCGGAAACCATTGTCAGGTGCGTGTTTGCAACGCTTGGATACTATTGTCACTGTTATGCTGAAATCGTTTTTTAAGGTATAACACACCAGTCGCTATCCCAAATGCGTTGACGTTGACTCATTATTTGTACGCATGTACGTCATATTAATGGGCCGGGATTTTCTCTAAGGAGACAGTTCAGATCACAGTCCGCGACGATAGGTATCCTAAAAATTGTGAATCTTTTAGAATATGTAATTTCATTACAATGTTTTCCTTTACCGTCAGCGAAAGGTGTTGCTACGAACCTATTCACAAATATACTTAACTTAGGAATTACAGGTTCTACCCCCGGCTCGTACTAATTATAGGCAAAGTAAGTTTATGTAGCGTGTAAGCAATAATTTTAACATTCTATGTACTTCTTTTGATCTGAATCCTTTCAATATGAATGTGATTTCGGCAAGGAGAGCACTAAGTGGGCACTTCTTTGACTCATAGTGAGGTTTGCAACTGCGGTTGTATTGTATCTATGTTTTACGTAATAAGTCATGGTCATGCGATAGGTTAATTAAATTGTGCATGTATTATATTTCTATTTGTAAGGATCTGTAATTGGCTCCCGGATGTTAATGTTATTATCTAACTTAGTTTTAAGCTGTTGGTCTTCCTTGAAGATAAATAAATAAATAAATAAGGACATGCCACTACAGGTATTCGAACAGTCGACCTTCCAATCAAGAACCAACCGTTGTCCCTCTGTGCTACCACTGCTCTAATTTGTACACGGTGCAAAATACTCTATTTCGGTCTACATGTTGTGTCCGCATTACATACTACATGTGAGAATTTACATGATTACTGGACGTCCTACAAGTTTAAATCAGAGATGATTGTGCACCAGCCGTAGTATAATAGTGAAAAGAAGCAACTGCGCGTACGCAGCTCGAAGGTGGGAAGTGTGAATCAAGTATATTTCGCGTTAACTTGAGTAACCTACTTGAGAGCAGTCTTACGACTCATTCATACCGGATTCTGCCGATGCCGAGAGGGAATGCGAAGTACACATCTTGTTAATATATTTTATGTCAAAATGGGAAATTATGTTTTGTAATAGAAAGCTAAATTTATTTTCATGCAATATTATTTAGTTTTTCATAATCATCATCCCATTGTATACATCCCAATGAGCATGGGTGTCCCTCAGTCGGGGATTTAAGCCATAATCCGCCATGCTGGCTAAATTAGGGTTAGACTTCACAAGTTTCACAAACCTTTTCCACATGCAGGTCACGATGTTCTCCCTCACCAAAAAGTTATGCGGTGTGAACCAAAGTCATTTGGGGTTGTATAGACTAGAGATGACACGAATGGTGATTTGGCCGAATACCAAACACCGAATATTCGGCAACGCTCTCGGCCGAAGCGCCGAATATTCGGCTGGTGAATGTTCGTCGTACGATCTGTGCATTTCACGCGCGACTTCGACCTGTCTCATTGCGCTCCGTGCGGACATAACGGGGGTGGGGTGTTTTTGTTGAAAAATGATAAAACGACAGAATCATTACATGACAGTTTCTGGACCTGTTTTGAAGAAGTCGTTACAGATAACATGCAACATGATAAGGATGTGGAGAAAAGTTCTATTACACACGAGATTGATTTTTATTTGAAAACTGTTCGCCTAGATCGGACGGCAAATCCTTGCCAAAAAAACAAGTGCGTCAGCAAACGCAAAGCAGTATCCAAGCTTTTTTGTGTTTTTTGTGTTTATTATTTATGAATATCATTAAAAAGGTTAAAAAAGTAGAAGTTAAAAAAGTGGCCGAATATTGGTGGTATCTCTAGTATAGACTCTTAATAACTATCTTGAGTTGTAGCTTAAGTGCTAATTGAAGTTTATTAAATAAGCGGAAATTTTGACAGCTCAAATGATGCATGTTGAATAAGCAATAGTTTAAAGTGTACTCCAAGCGTGTAGCCTATGGGGCACTGGATATGGAGGTCCTTGGAAAAATGATTTTTTGTCAATTGGCTCTAGTCTAGGTACAGAGATTTTTTTTTTTTGAAAGCAGGTGATAGGTGTGGTTATCTGTCACGTTAATATTATATAATTATAACTTTATTTATCAGAAAAAAGACCTCAAAAGTTTGTTTATCGTTACTTTTTTATTGGAATTACGTCTATTTTGCTAAGTTTTATTGAAAATTGGTTATCGGAAAGTGTGCGAAACTGGATTCATTTACTAGTCATAAATCAGAGTAAAATCGGTAACAGAGTAATGGCATAACATACACTCAAAAAAAAACTCCGAATGGAGGCCCTCCCCTCCTATTAAAATCGGTTAATTACTAATACAGGTCAAGATAAACTTATTTACGTAAAATTTATGTTATGACATCATATATTATTAAATACATTTATATTGTAGTCCACGCGCAACTAAGAAATGGGATTTTTTTTATAGAAAAAATCGCAAATCAATTCCTTGTTCGTAATGAATTTGGCAGTTGGTAGCGGAAAATCTTAACACCGCGATTCAGTATTGGCGCAATATGGATCAATGCCATCTAGTTGATTTTACGGGAACTACGAAATTCTCATAGTCATGGCCGTGTATTCCAATATGTATGTTCATTGGTAGTTTTAAAAGAAATTTTGTCACGATATAGTTGCGCGCGGGCTTTAATGTCGATTACCTGGCTGAGAACGAGAGTGACGTCATCGCTGCGCAAGCGAGCTATCATCATCGACGCCACGGCGAGGATGAAGTCGCCGGCCATTGCAACCTGCAATAGAAGAAAGAAAATACTCTTTAATAACACAAGTATGTTTCACTGTGTACGGCCAAATATTAGACGTAGAAACACATTGAATATATAGATAATAATAAAATCAGAAAACTTAATCAATATTAATAAATTGGTCAATGCTTTGAACGCTGTGGATTTAGGTCAAATAAGAAAATTACGCACATTTAAAGACACACTTGTAAAAACTCCAATAAAATGCAATCTTTTTCGACTGGACGGTCATCTTACTTACATCGAACTTAATTTAATTCTCAAGTGTCAAATCTGATGCTCTTAACCATGACTATGTATTGTTACTGTCACTTTGTTATTGAGTCCACCATCTGTTATTTGACACATTTTGTCTTTAAAAGATACATTCTTGCATTTTTTTTTACTTCAGCTGCAACCGTATTACGTCTTTCTTCGTGTTAAAGGACGTGAAAAGGGTTTTTCTTTTGTTAAAGCGTGTAAAAACGGCATAAAGCCCTGAGCAGGCAAAATCTAAGAGGCAAACACATTCAAGGCGCTGGTTTGTTCTCAAATTATATAACTCGAGTTCGGTACACGTCGCCAGTCGTGAGTTCCAATTCAGTTCAATGACGCCGGTAAGCAATTATGTATACATTATGCCACCAGTTTACATTTGCTGATGAGCAAATTTCAGACCAGTGTTTTATTTGTAGACTTATAAATGGAATTAACTGCGATGATAAGTTGGTAATAATTGATTTAGTCAATGACAATCGAAACATTACTGATGGAATTAGATGTACTTGTAATTTATTCGCGTATCGTTCATCACGCGAGTTCTTAACATTGTTGTAGAACGCAAAAGTATTATTCATGTTTTGATTAAATAGCTCCGTCTGCTAAGTGAAGCCATTGCTCGGTTGTGGAAAGCATTACTTACCTTTCTTGGAGTCGAGTGTATCAGTTTAATACAGGCACGTTTCAGAAATATCGAAGTTTTTTTTTATAATAGTAAGTGACGGAACATAACAGTTACAGTGCCACTCAGAGCTTTAAATCACAAAGAGGTGACAATATGACATAAGTTGACAACTACCACGTTCCTGTAATTTCACCAGTATCCCTAACCTTCGAAATCGGAACGCAGTAATGCTCTGCTGCTAATTATTGCTTGGCGGCAGAAATAGATAGGTAAAGTGGGCTGGACGAGCTCTTTCACCAGGAGCTCTGCTGCCATTAAAATGTCAAAGTTTATCAAGTATTGCTTTAATTGGTTTATTTGTGAAAAATATAAAAATATGTAATACTTTATTATTGCTACAATGACCGACACAGCTAGGACAACAGGGAGTGAGTTGCGCGAGATTACGTCGTGCTAGCCCTACTGACTGGACTCGAGTCAGCCTCTGTTGTGACACCGGGGCCGCCGCTCTTGCCAACAGACACAGAGTCAGCATATCTTACGAATTCTTACGAAGAAATTCTTCTTTGTGCTGTAATCTTTAGATCAAAAATTATAAATAACAAAGCAGTTAAGTATTTTTCGTATGTTTTGGGAAATAACTCCAGTAGTTTGCTATAATTATTAATGCAAAGATCGGAACACAAAGAAAAATTCCTCCGACCCGACTGGACTCTTACCTGTGACCACGGGAATGCCGTCGCCTTGCTCTTCCAAGTAACTACAGGTCAAGTTAGCAGGTCGACGAAATTCTTCTATGTCTGTTATAGATCTTTCTCGGCGTCGAAAGCCGAAAAAAGATTGATGTTAAAAATGCATTGTATCATCATCATTACGTCCGACCGCATAGGTTTTCTCTAAGAGGGTTTAGGCTATAGTACGCCATGCAAGCCCAACGTGGATCGGAGAATTCACACGTCTTCCAAGGGTCGTAAATCTTCTTTGATCTGCACATTTCATCAACATATTTTCTTTCACCGTTATCGAGAGGCATTGCTACAAAACACAGGGATCCGAACCGAACACATCCCAATCGATCTATTTAGTAGCCGTAGAGGTCTTTGAGATAGAGTTAGTCCAAAGAAGTACTGCCACCTTACCTATTTCTGCCGCCAAGCAGTAATGCGAGCATTACTTCGTTTCGGTGTGAAATTACAAGCACAAGGGACTTGTCAGCTTACGTCTCAGGGGCGCAGTGACGGTGCCCTTCAAACCTTCGCGAGGGCACGGCTTGTTCGTCCCGTCACTAGGTATTATAAAAAAAATAGAGAAGCAACCGTTTTTCCACTGAACTACTACCGCTATACACATTGTATAACATTTATTTACACATATTTTTTTTACACATTACATAAATTTACGCTTCTAGTAAACGCACGAATGTAATATGTTAAATAAACAATGTTTCGTTAGAATAAATTAGCAATTATTACGAAGAAAAAAATTTGATTACTTTATCTAGAGCAACCTTGGCGCAGACTCACATGTTTTAAAACGGAAACGTAACTCAAAAGGGCATCCGTTCGACTAAAAGTAAAGGTCAATGGAGGCAATCGTACGTACGCATGGAAAACCACATTTTATCGATACACCTGTTAATCCTACTATAGATATAGCGTAGTGGCTACAGACGATCATTTCTCCCGACGGCATCAGGAATGTCGAGAAAGTTGTGATGCGGCAGACGACCGCATACTAATGGCCTACGCCGCGCGGCCGTTTCGCTCGCAGACCGCGCCGCTGCCCGCGCCATCGCGACGCATGCGCCCGCGTATATACAACACACTGCAATAGTTTAGCCCTAACTCAAAATTGTAGAATTGAGAAAACTGTTTGAAAATAAAAAAAACACCGAACGGATCTTATTGGATATAAAGGAAAACATAGCGATGACGTTTGGACGTCGATGAAGGTTCATAAGTATTTGTGAAGTCCAAACCGCTCCTTTGATGACACCAGTGCCTAGCAACAGGACGTGTAATGGCTCGCGCTGTGGTTACGGATTGACCGAGTTGACTGCTTTAATAACGGACATATCTGTATGCTCCATTTCGTCGTCGACGACTACCTTTGCACTATGTTATACGTATTTTATTTTTTATAATATCAAGTGACGAGACGACGACGTGCGCCTGATGGTAAGCTACACGCCTGTCCATAACAGTTGCAGTGCCACGCAGAGCTTTAAATCGCAAAGATCTTCATGTGTTTGTAATTTATACATAATATTTAATGATCCATTTATAAACGAGAATATATATATTGGTTTCGTTCCGATTTTTTTAATTGTGTGTTTTCCCAGTTCTACAATTTTGAGTTACGACACTATTATGATAGCAGTGGGATATCCAGGATACACTTTAAACTAACGCCGTAATTTACATCATTGAAAGCGTCACGCGACGTGTTAATAATAGTGGCTATGGATGTGCGTATTTGGCTTTTCCGTTGTGTGTAGACACGGGCGTTCATTTCCTGTACTGAAGTATATACAATATTTACTGAAAATTTTCAACAATTGAAATGACGAGGGAGTAGCAGTGCTCCTAGTGAAAGAGTTCGTCCAGGGAAGTACTGGCACCTTATCCATTGCCGCCAAGCAGAGCATTACTGCGTTCCAGTTTCAAAGGGTAAGGGTGCTGGTGAAATTACAGGCACTTGGGACTTGTCAACTTATGTCTTGTTCGTACTGTCTAGGTATCATTTAAAAAAATCTAATGCGAGTGCGAGAAAGCGAATAGAGTCAAGAGTGAAGCGGTTAGAGGTCCATAGTATCTGCCTACCACAATGGCAGACAGGCGTGATGGTATGTATTTATATACATTTGAACCGAAATAAACAAACATGTTCTTATTACTAATCAATATTTATCTACTTCAGTACATGTTTACTTTGGAATGAAAATGGTGGCAAGTGGAAGCTGCGGACTCGGTGGGAAGCGGCGCGGTATCACTGACTGGACACTTGTTAGCCTACATCCAACGGCCGGACAACGCATGCCCCGCACGCCACACCCACGCTGCGCCAGCGCAACATGTTTGTAAGAACCGCCGTGTGCCACTTGAGTAGTACTACGTGTCATAATCATATAAATACAATTGTTATTCATCGAAATGAAAAATTTAAAATATTTAAACAAAACAGAACAATTTCGACAACTCGATATCTTGACGTCCAATCGGGTCGAAAAAGTTTTTCTGTGTTCGATAATTGCATTAATAATCAATATTACTAATAAAAAAAACTTGCACTGAAAAAAAGGCGATCTGAATAAATAACTACCTTGTTTACATCGAAGCCTATCAATCACAATGAGTGCAGCAACAATTCTAAGTAATAAATTGAACCATGTCGTGATTGATTCCGTCAGGATTCCATGCGGGTGGTTTAATTCAGTCTGAGTGTACAGGATCAAGATCTCGTCAAGCTTGACACTTAAGATTTACGCTTACGATAAGAACGATCCAAAGTACAAAACGTCAAGCTTCACGTGCTCTTGACTGTACAAGTTTTGTGTCCGAATTAATTTTTGTCATTATTACTATATCGTGTAAACGTCTTTCAACTCTGCGATGTCACTTAAGGAAGCATTAAAGACTCTACAGATGAAACACTCAATGATTTAGTGTCTTAGGCATTTATGTTATTAGGCATTAAGATGTTACTTAAGTCAACTAAACTTAAGCCACAGGTAAGCGAATTGCCCTTCAAATCTTTATATTGATTAAACTCTAGCATTCATTCCTAAGGCCGATTCTCCTGGGAAGAATTAATCAACTTTAGGGGTAAGCAACTCTAGGGGTTGCAAGAGTAAAAAGATGTAAATAAACATTTTTACACATTTATCACTTACAATATTCATTTCACATATCAGAGATATAAAGAACTTGCAAAAGTTAAACGGGTCACTACAAGTATTGTCATCCAAATACGCAGAAGATGTGTTATAATCTTTAGCAGAAAGTTTTTGTATAACTACAGTTTTACTATCTACTGTTATACATTTATTTTGTAACTAAAAGAAGGTCTGCACATTATATTTTAAGTTTTAATTGCCCTATAT